AAAGGACAGGGAAGAGACCAAACTGGATTGCTGGCCTGGGGCTGAAAATATCAGGATTCAGGTTGCTTCATTAAAATGAGGTTATTATACTGTTGTACCTCACTGACATTTGCAGTAAACCTTTGTTACGGTTTGACATAACTTTGTTTTTAGTTATTGTTTGTAATGCAATTCATTCCAGTGCCAACCTGAGTGGGGAAATGAACAATTATTCAACCCTGTTGATAAATTTACAAGTCAAAAATTAGTAATCATCAGTTATGGGCACGTATTTAAGACCTAAGTGTTTCAAGTCTTGCAGGAATTTGTAGTTAATATGCCCGGGCTGATTAAATGCGGCAAAGGCGGCTCTGGCTGAACTCTCTGCAGCCAGGGAAGGATGTGAAGGATGGGAGTTTGTAATAATATGAGCAAAATTCTAATCAAAGCCCTGTCTGCACAGAAACCTTCAATAATTTGCACAGTACTCTAGCACAAAGCTGTTTAACACTGGAGAAGATTGGGCCAGTGTTGCAAACCATTCTACCAGAGTGGCTAAATCTGAGAGATGATGGTAAAAAGGGCTTTTACCTACTCTTGGCTGTCATCTCCCTTTGGCCTGTGGGCCCTGCTTCACTCGCACAACCTGTGCAAGCAGTTTTGGACCTCATAACTGAGCAATATTTTGTTTTTATTAAAGCAAAGCTTTAACAGTCATTGCATAGGATCTGGAGGAGCAGGTGAGCAAGTCACCCTCGAGACACATTTGCTGTGTGAGACAGAGGATGGGATGTGGCTCCTGGAGAGGAGCCTCTTTAAAGGCTCTGAGCCATGAGATCCATCCCCTTCTCCTCAGCAAGTATTGCCTTCACCTGCAGCAGTGCAGCTCCCAGTGCTGTGCTTGAGATCCACAGAGGTGCAGCCCTGGTGAGACCTCACTTGATACAGGGGAGAGCGAGGCACCAATGCTGTATCACACAGCACCATCCTCAGCACTCCTGAATCCCACAGCTCAGACCTGGATGGAGGGAATCAGTAAACCACCCTCAGCCTGTGCCAGTGCTAGAGACCAAGCACAACTCTACATTCCAAACATTTCAGGAAAGGTCAGGAAGATAAGCCATCAGTGTAACCAAACATCCTTGCTGAAGAGGGTCTGGGGCAGCTCCTTTTCTCTCTGTCATGTGGAAAGTTAGGGTGATTAGGAAGATCACTTCAACCATTAAAAATCTGCAAAGCTCCAGCATCCCAGGCACACACCTGAACCCCAGGACCTCACTTTCTCTCAATAACTGACAGAGATAAGTGTGATAATCATTTGTGCCTGTAAAAATCCTTTCTTTGCTGAAAGCCAGAAGCCTTTCCTCTCTCGCAGTTTCATTAAATTTTAGAAATCAAACAACTAGCTTTGAACTGTCTGCTGGGGCACACAGATTTGTGAGCTTCCCACAAACAGGAGGATGCCCTCTTTGTGTCTCTGTTACATCTCTGACACATGATTAAATGTGTCTTTTTTCTAAGAGTGACAAGATTGTCAGTCTCTGCAGGCTGTGGTTTTGTAAGGGTCCTCACACCAGCATTGCCTCTCCTGTCACACTGACAGACCAGGATCAGCTTCCCAGGAGAACAGTGGGCAATGGCCTTGAAAGATCCTAGCCTTGGGAACATTATCAAAGAGCTGGAAAAGTGAAACAAATGGAAAAGACTCCTAGCAGAGCAGAAGCTTCCCTGCTCCAGGCTCTGTCTCCACCCGATGAAGTTCACAGCAGCTCCTGACTGAATCCAGGGGGAAGAGATGTTTTTCCCCAGTATCTGCAATGATCAATGAGGAACTGGAGCAGAGTGCCTGCAGCTCTTGCTGAAAAAAGCAGACTGAACTGGACTATCAAGAACTGTTGGCTTTTATATGGGCTCAGCAAGGTCATTCATCACCGCAGCAGATGCCGACTGCTTTCAGCAGCATGGAAAAGAAATTAAAAGTAGGTGAAAAAGACCTTCTTGTTTGGCTGGAGGATAAGCAATAGATCAAAATGTTTAAAATATTAACATTTCACTGCAGCTCAGACACACATGTGGGTTCCTGCAGCTTAACACATGGCAGAGTTGTCACCTGAGCTGTGGTGACTGTGTTGGTGGACGGTTGCCAAGAGAAAAGCATGGTCTCAGAGTTAATTCTTGTGAGTGATCTGTGGTAGCTCTGCCATTGCCCCAGTGTCAAGCTCTTGTCCAAGCTCTAGAGCTAGCTGGGGAAAGTAGCTATCCTGAGAGGTGGAGCTGCTTTCCAGGATGGTCTTCTAGTGGATTTGAGGGGGTTTTAATCTTATTACTGTAAATATTGCCATTCCTGGAATATGAATTTTTTTTCAATATTGAGTGAATGCAGAGAATGCTTACATATTGAGTAGAGCCACAAAGTTCTCACTGCTGCACAGGAAAAAGAGGGAACAAGAAGCTGTCCCTGCATACTATGACCAATTTCTACCATCAGAATGCTGCTTGGCTTATTCCACTCATAAGGAAATCAAGCATTACGTCAGGTCAACAACTGCAGAGATAAAGGTGAGTTCAGAGCAGCCAATGGAGACAAACTCAATCACCATGTGTCTTCTCCAGCCAAGGTGCACCTGCCCACTCAGCAGCAAGGCCCTGGTGCCACGTACAGCGGTGTCAAGGCTGTTTGGAAAATGAACACTGCCCACGCCACTGTTCCAGTGAGACAGGCCCTTGCTGGTCTTGCACTGACCTTCTCCAACTCCTCTCACAAGGAGTGAGCAGAAGAACCAGTTTCTCTGTCACATTTGTGTGCTGTTTTCTCCGATTTTTTTTTTTAATTAAAGGTATTAAAAGATGGCCAGATCCATGCAGCTGGCTGGAGCCAATGGAAAAGGAAATGCTATCTGGACAGCTGCTTCTCTGTGGGCTGGTCTGTGCCCACATGGCATCCTCTGATGTTCACCAAGGGAAGACCATCACAGTAACTAATTTCCACACTGGAGCAGAGATACAAATAAAAATGTCCTTGTTCACATGTAACTGTTCTGTAACTGATCCCAAGGCTGAACTTCCATTTAAAAGCCATTTAGCCAAAAGCTTTGCTATCAAAATTATTATCAGTGTTTCCTCATCTGGCACATCATATCTCTATGCAATTTTTCTCTGTGTGTGTGGGTATGGTCATAAAAAAACCCTCAAGACAGCAGATAAACAGGATTTTCAAATATTCCTCCACTCTGTAAGTCTGTTTACTGTAGAGCAGGAAAAGGAGGGGATCTCCGACTCCTCATGATACACCTGAGCTAAGTCAAATCTTCTGCTGCAACCAGCACAGCTGAGCATGGGCTCAGGACTGATTTATTTCCCTACCTTTGTGGGCATACTCTCTTCTGCATGGACCCACTGCCAGCTGGGTTTGTGTGTGTACTCATCTGAGCTGAGCTGTGTTCACCTGAACTGCAGCCACAGCAGTAACCTCCTTACAGAACCTCTCTTTCCTTAGCTGACTGCCAGCCTCTTAAATTCACCAAAATAAACAGTATTTGTACATAGAATGCACATCTATGCATAAAACAGGTTGTCTGGGGAATGCAAGCTTTGAAGTTTATTGGTGAGTTGAGCTGTGACTCAGGGAGCACGTACAGACCTTGCAAAATTATGTATCCTGTAAGTGCATCAAAGTGGCCAGAAAAGGGAAAAACAGCTGTGCATGTTTTTCTCTCTCCTCCTCTCACTTTGGGACTAAGCCTATAAAATAATAATATGCCTTTCCAGTATTATCATTTGTCTTGATTTTCTGTAGAGAATTGCATAACAGCAATAGCCCTATTAGCATTCAGCCCTCAGTTCTTTGCTTTGTGCTTTCTCCCTTACCCCTTTTGCTTAATAAAATAATGAATTTTGCATTTGACAGATGCCTGACAACTCAGGGGATTGGGCTGTCCTCTGTTTAGCCATTGAATATGAAAACTTGGAATTCTCCTGCGTGACAGTCCCTTTGCAATGTGCCAGCTCTGTCTACACATTAGGGAGAATTTCAGGTAAATTCAGATCACATTAAGCCAGTGATGCTGATGAGAACCTAATAGAGCAAGAGGGACAGAAAGCTATCACTGCCAGGAGCAATTACTGACCAGATAGTCCCATTTGCAATTCCTAGGATGTGCATAGGTTGAAAAGTGCTGTGTGCAAGGGCTGCATGTGCAGGCTCAGAGCATTGTATGAGGGAATTATACCTGCAGCTGTAACATCTCTGGTATTAAAGCAAACAATACTTTCTCACCTGCATTTCTGATAATCTCCTTTTACTTCCCTGCAGGGGAGAGCCCTCAGGGGTCTGGAAGGTATCTGTCCAGAAGGAAAACATGGGGCCCCCTCCCCAGAGTAGGGAAAGAGGAGCCCTGCAAAGCCTCACTGTGCTCTGGGGCCATCAGCTAAGAGGGTAAAGCTGGGCAGCAGGAGCCACAGGAGCAAAACACACTTCAGTCCTTGATTTCTCTCCCAGTCCCTAACTCACTCTGGTGAGGTGTGAGGCTCTGGTGGTCTGGCTGCAGCCAGGCCACAGCTCAGTGTTGCAGGGGGATGATCACCAGCAAATGCAATCCCTGGGCAGCACCAGGCACTGAGGAGCCCAGGCCAGCGTGGCTGTCACATACAGCAGTGGTGCTTGCACTGCACAGCTGCTGCTCAGGGGCCAAACTCTGCCTTGGTCAGAACAGAAAGAGGCAACATTTCCCCTGCCATGAGTCTGCAAGGGATTTGGGTCCCAGGGATGTAGGTCTGTCTGTCCAGAGCAGCAGCTGCAGCAAAAACCAGCAAAAGCTTCCTTTAATCTGGTTACACTGTTGTAAATGTCACAGATGCATCAGAAACGCTGCTCCAAGAGCGTGAAATCCGGCAAGGATTTGTGCCCCTCCCTCCCTCTTCAGGTAATCTAATGGCATAAAATATTTTTATTTGTAGAGCTGAGAGAGGAGAAAGGCAAACTCTGACATCTTTTCAAGGGAATGGTGGTGTTTATTGAACTTTCTGACGCAGCCACTAGATGCCCCTGTTTTCTGATGACTGCTCCAGAGTGGAGCATCTGCCACGATGCAGCGACCAGGGCCAGAATTTGGGGCTCACCCCATAGAGAAATCCAGACTGCTTCAGTCTCCTTTTCCCTAATGACCTTACAGCTAGCTGAGGCTGTTGTTCTAGATGTGGAATTTAGGAGAGATAGTGCTGGTCACTAACAGGGGTACTGTCATCCATCTGCCTTTTCTGCTCCTGCTTTGTGGCGACTCTGGAGGAGGTGGCACAAAGCTCAGCCACCAGTGTACCTGCAGGCCCTGTTCCTGTCACCATACAGCTCACTGCAGTGCCCAAGCTCTGGGGCAGCCCTCTTGGACTCCACAGCCTCTTGGGGGTGAATCAATCCAAAGCAGAAGAGTCAGTCTCCTGGCAAAGCCATTAACCCAAGCAAAACCATTTCCCAAATGAACCTTGAAGTGTTTCCTTGTGTACAGGTCCAGCAATGAGACTGTTTCAAATGGGAATTTGGCACTTGGTCAGGGCAAGGGAACTTTTGTGGATGCTGAAATAGTTCTACATCCAGAAGATTAATGCTTGCACCATGTCATTCCAGCCCCACAGGCACCCAAGTCAGCATAGAAAATCACATTTTCTCCATCTGAAGTGATCTCTCCCCAAAATGAACTTTGCTTAAGTAATGATTTACTTGAGAGTCTCTTAAGTTAGGGTGAGCAGATGTTTCTGCTTCAGTTATTCCTTCACCAGGCTTTATGGGGCCTGCAGAGTCCACTTACCAAAGTCCATACTAGGCCCTAAGGTGTGATGTGTGATAAATATTGCAGTCAGATACCCAGCTCAGAACTTCTGTGGAACACAGCGGTGATTTATGGATTTGGAGTAAAAAGTCCTTGTTTGTGTCTGGGCATTCACTCTCAGGAACACAGGAAATGTTAAGACATCTTGCTTGAGCTTTTTTCTTAACAAGGTGAGCAAAGTGATGGAAACCTTCAGAAGAGAAGAGAAAAGAAAGTGGACTCTCAGGATGAGAACACTTATAACGGGCTTCTGCTGCCTAATTCTTCCTGTTTCAAGGAGTAAGGGGCCTAATTAGCACTCCTGAGTGTGATGTGGGCTCAGAGCTCTGAGTCATCTGGGAAGAAGTACTTTTTCAGTTGTCACTGCTGGAGAAGCTAAGGAGCTCCAAGGAAGAAGCACTAGAAATTCCTAGTGACTTAGTGTCACAAAAATTACTTGTGTCTAAAACACCTTTGCAGGCGCTTAGAAATTAGTATTTACTCCATCCATCATCCACTGAAACAAAAAGGTTCCTCCTGCTTCCCTTCAGAGCTCTGGATTAGGATGTAAAACTCATTACTCATGTAAAACTCATCCGGTTGCCAGTACCTATTTAGTGAGGTTTGATCCACTAGGTTTTGGTTATGAGACATAAAAGCCTGGTAACCAGCCTTAGGATTAGGAAGGTTTACAGTGATGTATCCCACAGCATGTAGCACAGGCAGCCCTGGGGCTGATCTTCCCCAGGACTGACACTGTGCAGGCCAAGGCACTTCTCTGGAAGCCACACATCATCTGCCATTTTTTCATAAATTAAAAAAAAAAAAAGGTCTCAAATATACAATAGCAAATGAAGCTTGGATTAACTGGTATCTCTCTTCTCTCAGTGATTTTGCTGTGTTTTCCCTTGGGCCTGTGCTGCTCTGTAGGATTATGGCATTCCAGAGTCATTGGCATAATGATAACATGACTAAGAAATATGGAGACTCCCCTCTCCACATTAATCCGTGCCAAGAGAATACTGAAGGAAGTAGATAAAGGAGTCACTAACACTGAGTTATATTTTGCTTCTAAGAATTGCCTTCCAGAGGCTGTAGCCATTTTGCAACCTCTTTAATTTTCATAGAAAATGCCTCCTGTGCCATAATTAAGAGTTTAATATGCCACAGGGTCCTGTTTATCATTATAACGTATTTTGCTAGAGAACAGATAGAATTTTTGTAGGTCCTTTGAATATCTTTCAGCCAGTCCATTAGATGGGGCTGTGATACTGGGGATTTTAATCACAGATATTAATTATTCAGTTATTATTCATTCATTTTAATAAGAAAGCTGCATATTTCCTTTGTTTCTCGGGCAGCAAGATCTGGTGAGGGATTTCAAAGCGTGGAATAGTTTGGTAATCTTCAGTGTTAGCTAGCTACACCTACAAATCGCAGGGAGAACATCAGGCCCACCTTTCTCTTCTCCTCTTACAGAAGGCATGGGCATCCAAGGCAAAGACACCTGTAAATGTGGCAAGCATCAGAAGACATATGGGAAGCAGTCTTTTATCTCATGTGATGACTAATAGCATGTTCCCAGCTGAAACATAGTTTGAGATCTCTATGCATTTCTTCAGTAGGGAAAAAAAAAATCTGTGTAATTGTTTCAACAATGGTGTGCAAAGGGCCCTGGAAATGGAAGACAGCATCAGTGTACCATCCCATTAAGAGAGGATATCAGATGTTATGGCAAAAAGTCAGAGTGCTCTACTGCCTACCTGATGCAGGAAGATGCAAAGGCTGAAAGTAACTTCCCTGCAAACTGCTTTGCCTCAAGCAAGAGGAGATGCTGTATGTTGAGCAGAGATTATCACATACAATATGTATGTGTGAACGTGTTTTAATATATAGTGACGGTTCCTTACATTACAAACAGTACCTAAATCATAGAGTTGTTAAGGTTGGAAATAACATTTAAGATCACCAGTCCAACTATCAGCCCAGTGCCATCACCTTGGTCACTACTAACCAAGGTCCTCAAGTGCTGCATCCAGGCACTTGAAGCATTTCTTAATATTTCCAAGGTATGGTGACTCCACCACATCCCTGGGATGCCTGTTCCTGTTCTGGACAACCCTTTCCAGGAAGAAGCTTTTCCCAAATATCTGATCTACTTTCAGGGAGTTGTTGAGAGCAATGAGGTTCTCCTAGACCCTCTTTTTCTCCAGGCTACACATCCCCAGCTCCCTCAGATTTTTGTTGCAGAGCCATCCCCAGCTCCGCTGTGCACAGCTGTACAGAGAAGGACTTAGGAGTTCTCATGGATGCAATGCTGGCCATGAGCCAACAGTGAGCATTCATAGCCCAGAAAGCCAGTGAAATCCAGGGCTGCATCAAAAGAAACCTGGGCAGTAGGCTGAGGGAGATGCTTCTGCCCTCAGGAGGGCAAGAACGATGTGGAGCTGTTGGAGAGGGCCCAGAGGAGGCCATGAAGATGGTCAGAGCGCTGGAGCCCCTGTCCTGTGAGCACAGGCTGAGAGAGCAGGGGTTGTTCATCCTGGAAAAGAGAAGGATCTGTATGCTACGATTAAAGTACCCCTGAAAATTAGCTTTCTGCTGTCTTCCACTAATAAGGCAACAGCTACACAGGTGATTGCCGAAACCAGTGACTTACAGAGGAGATCTGTAGCATACCTTTCATAAACAATGACTTATTGCTGTTGCTGATTCCTATCCACTCAATTTTTCCCCTTTCTCTTGTATTTTTTCCTACAAAAACTTTACATGTTGGGTAAATTCTTCATCCATAACCAGTAATATCCTAGCAAACCTAGCAAAATAAGAATGTCCTTATTTCTAATTTGGTTTTAGGAAGGTACATAGTGACAATGACAGAAACAAATTCAAGGGTTATCCTTCTTTGCTCTTTACTTATTAGATGTTCAAGATATTTTACTTCTTTCTCTACTAAACATAATTTTGTTTTAGAGACCCTTAGTCTTTTTTTTCCCCAAAAGTTTAATAGCTTAACTGTGACATCTCAGTCTTTCTCTTTTTCCTCCCCTGATACAACAAATCATCTACATATTGTAATAACTTTGCTCCTGTATTTAGATTAAACTCTTCAAGCACCTGTTCTAAAATTTGTCCAAATAGATTTGGAGATTCTATAAATCCCTGTGGTAAAGAGGTTCATTGTTACATCATAATTGCTGCTTTCTCCCAGTAGTGGGATCTTCCCATTCAAAAGCAAATATATCTCTGCTGTTTTCTGCTAATGGACAGGTCCAGAATGCATCTTTTAAATCAAACATACTGAACCACACATGATCAGGGAGAATCTTGCCTACTAGGTGTCTGGATTAGGGACTACTGAGTGGCATACTTGACAAGTTCATTCAATCCTCTCAGAACTTAAACAAGTCTGTATAACATATTGTGAGATTTTACCATTTCGTTAAAACCAGGCCCACCATGTGGGCTTGCCATTTCATGGGGACCAGCCCCGCCACATGAAGCAGCTGCTTCATCCCTGTGCTCACAGGACAGGGGCTCCAGCGCTCTGACCATCTTCATGGCCTCCTCTGGGCCCTCTCCAACAGCTCCACATCGTTCTTGTGCTGAGGAGCTCAGGCCTGGATGAGGGCTCCAGCTGGGCCCTCCTGAGGGCAGAAGCATCTCCCTCAGCCTGCTGCCCAGGTTTCTTTCGATGCAGCCCTGGATTTCACTGGCTTTCTGGGCTATGAATGCTCACTGTTGGCTCATGGCCAGCCTTGCATCCATGAGAACCCCCAAGTCCTTCTCTGTACACCATACACAGGGGTGTCACAAAGGCACCAAGAGCACTTCCACAAGGACGAGTGCCAAGGGAACCAATCCCATCTCACCACAGGGGATCTCAAGGAACAAAGCACCCAGGAATCATATTACCTAATTTTTATGTTTGCCAAGGCTTCAGGGGAGCTTTGTCCTGCTGTGTAAAGGGAGGCTCTGGGGGCCATTGCAGAGCAGTGGGTCTGCATTTGTTTGATGTCAGGACTTTGGTTTCTTAGGGCCATTGTGAGGGTCTGAGCTGAGGTGGGCAAGCAGGGCAGGGCTGGCCTGGCTGTGATGTCTCTGGTGCCAGGGACATCACAAGGGACATCACAGTCGGGGACAGGTATAAATGGCAGCAGGAAGCTGCGCTGCCCCTGGGCAGCCTGGGTGAGCACACACAGCCTGGATGAGGGGACACACACGGCCAGATGCTGCTCTGGATGAGGGCAGGACCACAAACACAGGCACCCAAGAGAGCGCTTCCAACCCTGCATCCAGGGCCCTGCCCCTTCCAGGCACACCTTGCGAAGGGCACAGTGCCACCACTGGGGCTGGGCACAGGCTTTGCTGCCTGACAGCTGCCTAGCCCCCTCTCCTTCCTGCCTGCTGTCTCCCATCCCTTCTTCCCTCACTGCCAGCTCCCTTCGTTTCTCTTCCTTCCCTCACCTCTCAGCACCGCTGCACTCCTCTCCCTTCTCTTGCAGGTCTTAATGGTCATACTATTCCTCTTCTGGCTTGTGCAATGCATCCACTTTTACATCAATGTGTACCTGGCTGAGGGTCTCAACCAGCAGAGGACTCAGGTGCTGCAGGATTTGGCCCACAGGACCCTGGAACAGAGTGTCAGGTCCTGGGGAGCCATGCTCAGCGCTGCTGTGCAGCAAGGCCTGTTCTGGGCCCTTGTTGGAGCCCTGGTGGTGTTCTTGGCACTCTATTGGTGGCTCAAGAAAGGGATCCCTGAGAGGAACAGCAGAAGGGACTCACACAGTGAGGAAAGTGAGGAAGAAAATCCTGCTCGGATGAATACGACCTGGATCATTTCAAAACGCTTCCAGCTGTCAGTGCCGAAGCTGGCTTCTAAGAGACAGGTGGCGCAGGAGCTGATGAGTGACCTTCTCCAAGTCGCCCACAATCTCTTTTCAGACAGCTTCTTCCCAGTGCTGGAACCAGCTATTGGGGTGGGCAGTGCCTGTGAAGGATGGAGTCCCCATAAGGAGGAGGATGTTGTCTACCGTATGTTTGTGCCCCTGAAGCCGCCCCGTGGGCATGCCTTCCACCTGGAACCAGACTCCACGGGAGAGGTGCCACAAACGAGGATGCGCATCCGTGTGGAGCTGGTGTGCACTTGCACCTGGAAGCAGCCTGACCGGAACATGCTGTGCTTCCTCCACCACTCTGAGGAGGAGTTGAAGAGAAATCAGGCAGCCAGCCTTCTACACACCCTCTGCACTGGCCCTTACCTAGATGGGGAGAAAATTGCTCTCTGGTTCCAGACGTTTGTGATCTCAGCCTGGTCGATGGTGCCTCAGTCCCATCACTACAGCATGAAGGTGCTTCCTTCCTGCCGCTCCTGCAAGATGAAACTGATGAAAGCCTCTGGGAGAAGCCTCTTTGTGGAGACGGTATTTGGTGTGCAGCAAGGTGACTCGGACATCTTCCTGAGCAGCCAGCCTACAGAGGCCCAAATGACCCCAAGCACGACATGGCTGGAGAGCTATGCAGTGGCAGAGGCAAAGTTCTTCAGGCATGTTGACATGCAGGCCCCACCCTACAGCTGCCACCTCAAATGCCTGCGGCTCTGCGCTCGCCTTCTGAAGGGCTCAAGCATTTCTATCTATGCCTTGAAAACCGCGGTCATGCACCTCCTGACCTTGATCCCTCTGTCAGAATGGCAGCACAAGTACTTCCTGATGCGGCTGGATGACATCATGTGCTACCTGCAGTGTTGCCTAGAGGAGAAACGCCTCAAGCACTTCTTCTTCAACAACGAGGACATGCCCAAGGAGATCTCCTTGCCCCCAGCCTTCCATGAGGCACAGCCCCTGAACCTCTTTCAGCACCTGGCACAGGATCCAGTTGCTCAGACTGAGGCATTGAGGGAGTTTGATGACCTGCAATCTCACCTGTACTTTGGGTTATGAATGAGACAACTGTAGAATTACAGAATCATAGAATCATAGTACTCAAGAAGAGTAGAATCACTAGGTTTATAGGAAAATACTTCCAATATCATTCTAACCATACTTTGACCTTTAGTTGATGTAAAGTTTACAACAAATGGTGTGTTTGAACAAACACTGTATTTCTGAGCATCCATGCATCACTTTGGCATGGAATGCAGCTGCTCAGCTACCACAGAGTTGGAGATTATGTGGTAGAAGACCTGAGGCAGTGGGCTCTGGTTTCTCTGATTCCCTGGCTACCACTCCCCCACTGTCCATGTTCCTGCACTGGGGAAATAGGAATAATTGAATTGGTCACCCTCCACAGCTGTGCTCACTGCCAAGTGGCATTTAATGTTGCTGCCTTCCAGAAGCTCCTACAAATGCCCTTTCTGAGAGAGTCCATTCCTCCTGTGAGCTTCACTAGTTACAAAGATGGCAATAAATAATATATTTGAGAAAACACTTCACCTGTGAGTCTCCCTGTGTCACTTTGTCAGGGAGCATTGGCCTAGGGTACTGGCTGCTCAGCTGCTGCAGAGTCAGGGAGAGTTTTGCAGAAGAGTTGCTGGGTGGGCTGGATATAGCACTTGAGGACAGAGTGGGCTGTCTGGTTTCAGGATTCCCTGTTGTTGCGGGATAATCCCAGTAGGCAGTTCAGCATCACACAACAATCTAACAATTTAACAGTTGAAAGCAAGTAAATTAGAAGGATTTATAAGAATGGAGAGTAAAAACAAAATAAGAAAAAGTGATGCACAATTCAGTTAATCACCAAATAGTGACCAGTGTCAAACCCTTTCCCAAACACCCATCAGCTCCCCTTCCAGGTAACTCCCCCATTTTATATACTGGCCATCACGGCCTATGTGATGTCCCTCTGGCCAGTTTAGGACACTTGTCCCAACTGTGCTCCTCCCTCCCAGCTTTTTGGGTTTGTGGGTTTTGTACCTCCTCACTGGCAGAGCACAGGGCACAATAAGTCCTTGATTTTGGATAAACATGACACTTAGCACCAACCAGAACATCAGTGTGTTACCAGCATCATTGTCATCTACAAGAAGAATTATCATCTACTGAATCCAAAACACAGCACTGGACAAGCTACTGCCAAGAAATTAACTGTATCTCAGCTGAAAGCAAAACAATATCCACTCCTTAACCCACAGCATTTACATCATGCCACGTCTCCCATTTCCAAACACTTTATCACCTTCCCCATTTATCTGACAGACATACAGACAGCCATCACTCCCTTAGTCTGTGGAGCACTTCTGTCAAATGTCCACACAATTGCCAGCAAAACCTTGACCATGCATGTGGGAAGAACAGACTCTGGGCTAGTGAAGGAGCAAGCCCAGATAGTCCCTTGGGAAACTGCTTTTTGGAGGTCCTTGTGCTCCATGAGTGTTGGTCCTCTTTGAAGAGCCATCTCCTAAAGTCACAGGAGAAGGAAATGGCAAGCAGGGCAGAAGGATGGCCTGGCTGAGCAGGGATTTTCTTCTTTTCATGCAGTTCCCCTATCCTCCTTCCAGCCCTTCTTGTAGATGGGTGTACCATTTGCTAAATTCCAGTCCCCTGGGACCTCCTGGGTCATCTGGGACTGCTGATAAATGAATGAAAGGAGCTCAGGGAGTACCTCAGCCAGCTCCTGCGCTATCCTTTTCTGAGTCCTATCTGACTGCATAGACATGTGTCTGCCTGAGTAGTGTAGCATGTTGCTGACCATTTCCCTGTCCCTGTCTTTCAGCTCAGGGTACCCACAGAACAACTGGTCTTACTATTAAAGACTGAGGCAAAAAAGATTAAGGACCTCAGCCTTTTCCTCATCTTTTGTCATTATGTCTCCCCATGCACCCAGTGAAGGATGAAGATTCTCCTTAGCTCTCCTTTTGTACTTGTAGAAGCATTTTTTATTGCTCTTGACTGTAGTAGCCAAATTATGTTTCAGTTAGGCTTTTTCTATTTCTGATGTTTTTCTAAATTCAGTTCCAGTTTTGACCCTGATAACCTCATGATATCACTGTAGTCTTCCTGAATTGCTTGCCCCTTCTTCAAAAGGTCATGAACTCTTTTTTTTTTTTTTTTTTTCCTGAGTTTCAGCCAGCTTTCAGCACCTGGAGATAGCCCAGTCCTGCACCTTAAAGATTTCCTTCTTGAAGAATCTCCAGCCTCCCTGAACTTCTTCACCCTTCCTGAACTCCTTGGCACTGCTTCCCAAAGGACTCTGTGAATTGATCTCTTAAACAGGAAAAAATCTTCTGCCTGGAAGTCCAGGATGGCAGCTCTGCTAGCCACCATCCTTACTTCTCCAAGAACCAAAAACTCTTATAATTCTATGATTTTTATGCCCGAAACTTTAATGCCAAGAAAGGATGCTACCTTGTAACAGATGAGGGAAATCAGGCTTCCTTATTTCTACAAACTTAAAAAAGACATTAGGCCTGTGTGAAACAAATATGTATACCCCAGCTAAGCCAGGCAAAGTTACCCTTAAGCGACAGCACAAAAGTTCAGTGAGATAATCAGATTAGCATTACTGAGTTAGCCATGCATGTAAAGCACAATACAGCTCCTATTTCCTATTTGTCTGCATTATGAATCTAAAATATTCATATTTTATTGTCTTGTGTTGACAGCAAACTGTTAGAACAAAAGAATGGCTGGTTTTGTGTTTGGAACTTCATGTCTTATTTAGTTTCAAGATTGAATGGCAAGCAGAATTAATCAGGTTCTCAAATGCACTTTGTCCAAGGTTGTTCACACTAGCAGTCCTTAAACAAGCTGGGAATGGGAATCTGGTGTCCTTTACATTGCTTGGGATATATATATATTCCATCTGCTCAAAAATCCTGATGGGAATGAGCACTCAACTTGTCAGCAATTTTAAGTAAGATTTTAAGATTTAACCTACTTAATGCCTCTCTGAAAAGCCGAGGTTCAAGCCAGGATATGCATGTGGCTGAAGCCTGCTGTGATCTGACAGCACCCTTCAGCTCTGTGCTGGTGCTGCTGGCCTGTCGAAACAGAGATGCACC